AGGACTTCCAGGAGGCATTCTCTACCCTTCAGGTTATTGCTGAGAAGATTGTTTTTTATAATTGTAGTTCAGTCTCTAGTCTATTAAAGGGAAACAGTTTGCTTTAACCCTAACTTTCTGTGATTTAGAGCTGGTCGTTTAATTTCAAGCCAATGATATTCATCTCTCACCTTGGCCTTCCGGACTCCTGACCACCAGCAGTGGAAGGCCACCAGGTCTGATGCAGAGTAAGCACTTATCACATTGGCTGCCTACACCAAGGTCTGCCTTTTTTGGGGGACGGGGGGTTAATGTTTTTATGGCCTCAGAATCTGGTCTCACCCATGATTTTTGTTCTCTTCACTTAGTCATTTTGCAACTTGAAATCAATCCTTAAAGTCAGTGTGAGCATCTTTGGGTAGTGGGATGACATAAACCCTCCCATTTCCTCCAGCACTGACTTTTCCTTTTATTAAGATTAGGAATATGTGAACTTCAATTCAAATTATGCCTTGAGAGAATTTCTGGCCAAGGGGATGCATAGGTAGACCCAATTCACCTCCCTCACAAACATAAAAAGAACCAACCTAAAACCAAAAAAACAATCATAACTACCAGAAAACTGAACTGTATGGAAGTCCAAAAACCAAGGATTTTAAAAAAAAACATTCATCCAGACAGGTAGGAGGAGTGGAAACAGCCAACCAGGGTGGAGAAGATGCAGTGTGGCATGGTGTGGCAAGGGAGTGACAAGTCAGTGGTGGCAGCAACTGGTGCAACAGGGAGTTCCACATTTACATGTGATGGCCAAAAACCAAGAGGGACAACTAGAGACTGAGTGATCCCATTTTAGGCCTGACCACACAGCCCAGGGTTCCAGTGCCAGGAAATAAAACTTCATAACCTCTGGCTGTAAAATCCAGTGGAGCTAGGGAAGCAAAGGACATTGCCAGTGTCTTAGGAGAGTCCATTTAAAGGGTCCACAGGGTCCTATAACACACCCAAACCCACTCACTCAGGGAATCAGCACCAGGAAAGCAGATAGAAGGCCACTAGTTGCTTATGGGAAGTGGGAGAAGTGACTGAAAACAGAGCCACAGCCAAGCAAGTGGCATTGTTCCCCCTCTGACCCCTCCCCCACATACAGTGCCACAAAGCAGTAAAGTGCATTGCCCCACCCTGGCAAAGACCTAAGGCTTCTCCCATTACACCATAACAGGTGTGCCAATGTTGGGAGTCAAAGTAGCTCTACCTAATACACAGAAACACAGGGTGGTTGCCAAATTGAGTAGACAAAGAAGTATGGCCCAGATAAAAGAACAGATCAAAACTCCAGAAATAGAACTAAGTGAAACTGGGATAGCCAACCTATCAGATGGAGAGTTTAAAACATTGGTGATCAGGATGCTCAGAGAAATGATTGAGTACAGCCATAAAATACAGGAAGAAGTGAAGGCTATCCAAAGACAAATAAAGAAAAATATACAGGGAACCAACAGTTAAGGGAAGGAATCCGGGATTCAAATCAATGATTTGGAATACAAGGAAGAAATAAACATTCACCCAGAACAGAAAAAAGAAACAATAATTTTAAAAAATGAGGAGAGGCTTAGGAACCTCTGGGACAACTTTAAACATATCAACCTCCAAATTACAGGGGTTCCAGAAGGAGAAAAGGAAGAGCAGGAAATTAAAAACTTATTTGAAATAATAATGAAAGAGCCCTAGCTGGTGTGGCTCAGTGGGTTGAGTGATGGCCTGTAAACCAAAGGGTCATTGGTTCGATTCCCCATCAGGGCACATGTCAAAGTTGTGGGCCAGGTCCCCAGTTGGGGGTGTGTGAAAGGCAACTACACATTAATGCTTCTCTCCTTCTCTTTCTCTTTCCCTTCCCCCTCTCTAAATATAAATAAATTAAAATCTTTAAAATAAAAAAAAGAAAAAAGATAATGAATGAAAACTCCCTTAATTTGGCAAAGGAAATAGACATAGTCCAGGAAGCACAGATTGTTCCAAACAAGTTGGACCCAAAGAGGGCCACACCAAGACACATAATAATTAAAAGGCCAAAGGTTAAAGACAAAAAGAGAATTTTAAAAGCAGCAAGGAAAAAGGAGACAGGTACCTACAAAGGAGTTCCCATAAGACTATCAGCTGATTTCTCAAAAGGAAACCTTACAGGCAAGAAGGGGCTGGAAAGAAGTATTCAATCAAAGTCATGAAAGGCAAGGACCTGTATCCAAGGTCACTCTATCCAGCAAGCTATCATTTAGAATGAAAGGGCAGATGAAGTGCTTCCCAGATAAGGTAAAGCTAAAGAAGGTCATCATCACCAAGCCCTTATTACATGAAATGTTAAAGGGATTTTTCTAAGAAAGAGAAGAAGATCAAAAAGATGAACAGTAAAATTACAACAAACTCACAACTATGAAAATTGAATCTAAACAAACAAAACCAAGCTAAGCAAACAACTAGACAGAATGGAATCACAGAAATACAGATCACATAGAGGGTTATTAGTGGGGAGCAGAAGAGGGAGAATGGGGGAAAAAGTACAAGGATTAAGGAGGATAAATGGTAGGTACAAAATAGACAGGGGGAGGTTAAGAACAGTATAGGAAATGGAGAAGCCAAGGAACTTAAATGTATAACCCATGAACATGAACTAAGGGGGCATTGCTGACAGAATAGGGGTACCAGTCAGAGGGAGGCTAAAGGGAAAAAAATGGGACAAGTGTAATAGCATAATCAATAAAATACACTTAGTTAAAAAAAAGAAGTACAAATTGACATGGACAAGAGTGTGGGGATTCACTGTGGGAGTGGGTAGTGGGCTCTGGGTGCAGGAGGGTAATGGGGGAAAATTAGGGGAAATGGAGCATAGACAATAAAATTTTAAAATTAAAAAGAAAAAAACAAATTATGCCTTGACACTTGCTAGCTGCATGGTCTTGGGTAAACTCCTCACTCCTGTGAGCCTCAGCATCCTCCCCTATAGGAAAGGAGTTATTGTAGCCACTTCAGAGGGATATTGTCAAGATCAAATAATTTAATGATGAAAAGCATTAAAACCATGGCTACCATGTAACAAGCTTATAATAAATACTACGTAATATAATTTTATTAGAACATCTAGACACTGAACAGAGTTTCAAAGGAGTGCACCTTCTCAGAGCAGCCGTCTCTATCCCCGCTTTAACATGCCATCACCATGCACACCTTCATGGCTTCCTCTACTCCATGGCACAAAACACACTTTGTTATGATATGTTTTTGAGAACATCAGATGGACAAGAGATAACATAGTATAGTGGTTAAGCACACAGGCCCTTTCTTCTTTTAGAACCAGGCACTATGGAATTAAATTCCAGCTCTTGCTACTAATTGTGAGATCTTGGGCAAGTTACTTAATCTCTCTGTGTCTGAGTTTCCTCAGCAATAAAATACAATTCACATTTCATATAGCTGATATGGGAATTAAAATATATTACCTGGCATTGAATAAATACTCGATGTGTTTTCTATTATGAGTATTATTAGCAATATTATTAATATCTACTTTCCTATTCTTGTAAGTTCTGTCCATTTGACATGTCTCAGTGCCCAGACCAATCCTGATACAGAATGGCTCAATAACTATGCTAAAAGAAGAAATGTCTGAGAGCTAATTCGACCCCCACAAAAGTTAGTCAGCATAAGTGCTTTAAGCTAGTTGATTTGACTATTATTTTTAAAATTTTGCTTGTTCTCTTTTCATTTTTGTTATTGTTTTCTAGTATGTTTATGAACTTTTTTAAAGCAAAAATGACTAGGGAAAATAATTTTTTTAAATAATTGGGAAACACCTATGCAAAGACATAGAACAAGAGAATAATACATAATTAATAATGTCATATTTGTAAATATAAAAAACAAACATGGTGTTAAATTCCTCTGCCTTTTAAAAACATAACGTAATTTGTAAACTTAGTCTTGCGTGTAGTTAATTTTAAAAAGAGGACAAGGATATAAAAAAGGAGAAAATCTTACCTGTTTCAACAGCATGGATGATTCTGGAGAGCATTCTGTTAAGTGAAATGAACCAGCCAGAGAAAGACAAATACCATATGATTTTACTTATATATGGAAGCTAATGAGCAAAATAGACAAATGAAATAGAAACAGACTCATGAACAGACTCAAGACTGACAGCTGTCAGGGAGAGGTGGATTGGGGGGCCAGGTCATAAAGGTAAAAGAATTAAGAAAAAAACACTCATAGACACAGACAACAGTATCGTGATTACCAAAGGGAAAGGGAGGTGGGGGGCAGGTAGAATGAGTAAAGGGGGGCTAAATGGATTGGTGATAGAAGGAGATTTGACTTGGGGTATGAACACACAATACAATAAACAGATGATGTATTGTAGAATTGTACACTTGAAATCTACACAATTCTATTAACTGATGTAAGCCCAATAAATTCAATAAAAATTTTAAGAGAAATAAAAAATAAAAAGAATGAGGAAACTCAGTTTGTGATATTCTATTTTATGGAGAGTGGGTGGGGGTTGAATTTCAGTTAAAAATTAACTTTTCACCTATAACCGTAGCAACATGAAAGAATGCTAAAACTAATCAATATTTAGGCAGACCTCTGGGGACAGATTTATCAGCCAGAGCTCACGCTTCTATGAGAGGTCAAGCTGTGCCCTTTTGTACTAAGCCCTGTGTTAGAGATAGCCACATATCACCCATCTGAGTCATGAGGTAGGGCATGCTTGCTTTTGCTCATTGGGATTTTTAAAACAACTGGAGATACTGAGCTGACTTTCAGGTTTTGATGGTGCCTACAAGGTCCCAAAAGCCAAATCTTAACTTAGACTGTGTCTACCCATGTAAAATAGAGGGAACTAGCCAGATTATTCAGCCCATGGCTGGGAAAAGCCCTTGATTTGAAGCCAACTGCATGCAGGCAGCCCTCCCTGTGTTGGTCAAAGATCAGAGATACCAGTTTCAGGTTATCAAGGAATTTACGCTGTGGTAATTAAGAGTGCAGTCTCAGAAACCAGAGTCCGGGTTCAAATCATGCCTTTACCATTGTAGCAGGTTAAAGATGGCCACAAATTTTCTGATACCCCCGGAGAGATGAGGGCTATGCCCCTTCCTCTGAATCTGAGATGACTATGTGACAACTCTCACCAAGGAATATAAAAGTGACCCTGTCTCAGTTTCTGGGCCAGGCCTTGGAAATGGATGGCTTCTACCTCTTGTGTCTCAGAGCCTTGAACCACCATGTAAAATTCAACTACAGTGCTGCAGAGACCACATGGAGAGACCCGAGACTGCAGGCAAGGAGATAGGAGGCCAGCTGATCCCAGTCTTACAGACTTCTCATCAAAGCATGTGAGTGAAGCACACTGTGGCTACTAGATGAAAAAGAGCAAATCATAGAAATCAATGCTAGCTGGGTCAGAAGAATCACCCAGGGTGTCTCTACCCAAGTTTCTGAATGACAAAATCGATAGGTGATCAAATAGTTGCTGCTTTAAATACAAACTTTTAAGATGGTCTATAGACACAGCAATAGATAACTAGAACAACACTTACTAGTTGTTTTGGTTTCCTCAGCTCTAAAATAGGAATAATATTTATTGGATTGCTCTGATGATTAAGTGAGTTGGTAATATAAAGCCCTTACATGGATGCTGGGCATATAGCAAGTACCCTGAAAATGTTGGCTCCTGTTAGGCTTGAATGCTAACTCTGGCTGGATTCTGAAACGGGGAAATCTGAGTTCCACATCTTCTAATTCTCTAGGGAGTTTGGTCTAGCATCTCCGAGGAAAGTGGCCCCTTTATGGAAGGATCATGTTGAAATGACCCAGGCAGGAAGCATTAACAACGCTTTTAACTGTAAAGCATTAGAGTTCATTGTTTCACCTAAGAACAGCTACTGCCTTCCTTCAAGCCCAGTATCCCCCACTCTTCAGGTCCGTGGGGGCTGGACTGGCTCCCAACACTGCTCCCAGCTCAGCAGCCTCAGTGTGCATGCAGCTCCTCACAATCTCCTCAAATCAAACTAACCCCACCTTCAACTTTCACTTGTATTACACTTCCTTTGCCTCAATGACCACTCACCTTCTCTCTGTCATCACAAACTCCATCACAAGCACTTGAGAACTGAGCAAGCTCCAAGTTTCCCAAAGGATGTGCTGGGCAACCCTAGTCCTTCAAGGCATTCCACAGCGAAAGAGTTCTGTAGACACTAAAGTTCGGGAAACACCAGACATTATGTCTCCTAAATTTCCTTCAATAATTACAATTCAATTTGCAAATTAAAAGCCTTAAAATGTTATGCCATTCAGAAGCCTATTTAACTTTGTGTTATACAGATTTTCAGAAACACATCTTGTGTGTGAAACACTTTCCTGAAAAAAAAAAAAAAGGCTCCTTGGAAGGAGGAACTGCTGGGTTGAGCCCTGGAGGAGTGGAATAGGGGAGAATGTGAGGGGAGCAGAAAAGGAAGTAGGAAGATGGTCAGCCTGATGCGGCAGGAAGGTAAGGCTGAGTTTGAGATCTGAGGGCCACGGAAGCCTCCTGAGGGCTTTAAGCAAGAGCTTATTACATCAGAATTGCATTTTATAAACATCACTAACGCATTTTACAAAGATCTATAACTCTCACTAACAATCTTTATGTTTTGATTGGAGACATATAGTAAACAAAATGTATTGCATTATTACCTAATATTTATAAAAAATTATAAAAGTTTCATAAAATGGCTCTTTTTCTTGTCACATGCAATGCCCCATTGATGTTTTCTATTCTTTTTTTTCTCCTTTTGAAAATCACCTTTGTTAAACTGTCCCATAATTTAGGCAAACAAAGATGGGGAGATGAACTTTGTAATACCTATATATTAATGTGTTGAGGTCCCTCATCTTCTCCCTGATGTGCTGAATGAATGAGTGATTTATTCTAAGACAAGCAGAAGAACCTATTCCTAGTTCTTCTGCTAAGAAGCATTTAACATATTTAACCTCTGTCATGATTTCCCTGGTCTCTTGTCACAAGTAAGACATTATAATACTGTTGAGGACAAAGTAAGTCAAATTTATTTTGCTCCTTAGGACAGCACTGGGCACATTGGCAGATACATCATGGGTGCTTCAAACACACTCATCATCAGACTTCCGCCAAGATGGAGACATAGGTGGAGGAACCACCTTGCCTCTGTGCACAACCAAATCTAAGAACAACTATTTTTAACAACAATCACAACCAAGCCACATGGAAAATCGACAATACGGAGTCCAAAGACAACTAAATGCTCAGCTAAACCGGTAAGAGGAGTGAAGCCAGCAGTGGAGCAGGTTATCAAGAAAAAATCCCCGGGTGGTACGCGGTGCACAAGCAGCCGAAGGTGCTGATCACGAGCTAGCTACGGGAGCGCACAGGGAAGAGGCGCGCGGGCTGCCTGTGGTCAGTCGGTCATGCATCTGCATGCGGAGAAACCAGTGAGAAGGGAAGCCTGCGCGGGGCAGTAGGCTCGCACAATTCCGATCGGATAAACAAGCCCGGGGTGAGTGGTGTGACTGGACGGGCTGGGCTAGCGGAGAGGACCGCCATTGCTCCCTCTCTGACCACGCCCCCACACACAGCGTCACAAACCAGCGACCTGGGTAGCCCCGTCCTGGTAAACAACTAAGGCTTGGCTCCGCTTACTTAACAGCACAAATAGACCAAAAATGGCTATAAGACAACTCAGAGCCCCAGAACCGATAGATCTAAGTGATGAAGAAATAGCCAGTCTTTCAGATGCACAGTTCAAAACACTGGTTATCAGGATCCTTACAGAACTGGTTGATTTTAGTCACAAATTAGAGAAACATATGGAAGCTAAACTAATTGAAATGAATGGTAATACAAAGGAAACCAATAGTAATGGAAAGAAAATTGGGACTCAAATCAAGGGAGTGGACCAAAAGGAAGAAAAAATGATCAAACAGAAAAGAATGAAGAAATAAGAATTCAGAAAAATGAGGAGAAGCTTAGGAACCTCCAGGACATCTTTAAATGTTCCAACATCCGAATTATAGGGGTACCAGAAGGGGAAGAGGAACGGCCATGAGTGGAAAACTTATTTGAACAAATAATAAAGGAAAACTTCCCCAATCTGTCAAAGGAAATAGACTTCCAGGAAATCCAGGAAGCTCAGAGAGTCCCAAAGAAGTTGGACCCAAGAAGGAACACACCAAGGCACATCATAATTACATTAGCCAAGATTAAAATGAAGGAGAGAATCCTAGAAGCAGCAAGAGATAAGGGGACAGTCACCTACAAAGGAGTTCCCATCAGACTGTCAGCTGATTTCTCAAAAGAGACCTTACAGGCAAGAAGGGGCTGGAAAGAGGTATTCCAAGTCATGAAAACCAAAGACCTACAACCAAGATTGCTCTACCCAGCAAAGTTTTCATTTAGAATGGAAGGACAGATAAAGTGCTTCTCAGATAAGATCAAATTCAAGGAGTTCATCATCACCAAGCCCTTATTATATGAAATGTTAAAGGGACTTATCTAAGAAAAAGAAGATAAAAAAGATGAACAGTGAAAGGACAGCAAACTCACAGTTAGTAAAACCACACCTAAAACAAAAGCAAACTAAGAGGACAGCTAGATCAGGAGCAGAACCATAGAAATGAAGATCTCATGGAGGGTTAGCAACAGGGGAGTGGGAGGAGGAGAAGGGGGGAGAAGGTACAGAAAATAAGTAGCATAGACAGTAGATAGAAAATAGATAGGGGGGAGGGTAAGAATAGTAGGGGAAATACAGAATCTAAAGAATTTGAGACATGTGTTCATGAACTAAAGGGGGAAATGGTGGGAGAGGGGTATGCAGGGTGGAGGGGAATGGAGGGGGGAATAGAGCAAATGTAATGGCATAATCAATAAAAAAGTTTAAAAAAAACACACTCATCAATTGCATTGCACCAAACTGATGAATTTTCATCCACTGCAGGGCAAAGAAATTTAGCAGGCTGAAAAACAGTAGCAAACTTCACCTAATTATTGAGCATGTTTCTACTGGTGTTGAATCACCTGAAAAACATCTATTCCTGTGCTCTGTTGGCTCAGGAACGAAGTGCCTACATTATAGGGAAGTACCTTGTTCTTCTTGCTGCTTAATCTTCTGCTGTCAAACCTCCCAGTGTGTGAGGTCTAGGAAAACAATCAGCATGTTTGTATTCTTCTCCTTTTCTTCCTACAAGGTTCTTTACTGTCCTTTCCAGAGCTGCCATCTGCTCTCACTTCTGAGACCTTCCTACTACAGGACTAGATCCAAAGTGGGGCTCAACCTCACCACTGTCTCCTTCCTCCTTGCTGTCTCTGAAAATGAGGGTTCTGGCCTTTTCAGTTGAAGGCCTTCACTGCTAAACAAAGAGTAAGCCACAAACCATCAGGTGTGGGCATCACAAAAAGAATCCCGGAATCTCACGAAGTGTTCTGTAGTGCCCAGAGTAGTCATTGGTGACCCCCACTTTTTCCTGAGGGCAAATTTCACCAAGCCTCCCTTCCCCCATCATCACCTTTGTCCAGATAAGGTGTTCCACCTCCTGCTTGAAGGTCTGAATATGCAACTAATCATTGAACAGTAAATGAGTTAGTCACCCTCCAACTGTTTGAAGTCTCAGAAGGGTGACTATCTTTCAGTGTTTCTCCTTCACACAGAAAATAAATGACCTCGGACCTCACCTCACAGTTACTTACATCCAACATCTTCTTTAATAACCTTGGGAAAAAACTGATTGTGGTCTATTGTATCCTTTAGTTTCAACCATTCACTCAGATAGTATAGATTGTCAATTCTAGTTGCTAGTCTAAAAATCCTAAGACATCAGGACTGTGGGCTGACCAGTATTATTCAAATGTAGTACAGTGTTATTCATGGCGGTAACTTCTAGAGGCAGAAAGCAGGGGCACTGCCTTGCCCCCAGGTGGCATTTCCAGTGGTTAACTCAGCCCTTACATCCCCGGAAGCTTTGTCTTTCTCCAAAGGATTGCTCCCCAGACTCTCCAGGAAAGCTGGAAGGTTGTAAATACAGCTCATTAGCAACTGCTTGGAGTGCTGGGAAACAATCCCTGGTGAAGTGATAACAGTTCTTATCTGCTGCTGGTAGGGACACAGCTGGCTTTTCTTTCCTCCCATCTGCTTTTCTATGTAGCCGACTTTTCTGCAAAAAGGAAAATATATATATACATATATGATCTTGTAATAAGAAAAATATCACAATTGTTTATAGCTCAAAAAGAAGTATCTCTCACTGTATCCAGATACTGTACACATAGTACCATTCTATTGGAAAAAAATCTTTTTTTAATTTCTAAAAGAGAAAATTTATTAGAAAGGCCATAGCCTGGGTTTTGGTGACATGGTCTTGATTTAAAATTTTAGCTCCGCCTTATAATGCCGGAATGACCTTGCATAATACACTTAGCTTCTCTGAGCTTGAGTGTCTTAACCTATAGAAGAGGCATACCTTCTTCATGAAGAGTGAGGAGCAGTTAAAGTGCTTCTTTATGTTCAGTATACTATGCACACTGAGTAAACACCTACTGTTTCTCTTCTCACCCCAAACATGAGATCTCCAAAAGTATTTCTACAGAGCAACCAGTAGACATTTCTTAGAATCTTTAGAAGGAGCCTCATTGCCCATCCACACTGACTTCTCTGGAATCTGATTCACAGCTTCCTTGACCAAAAGTCCCTGAGACTTGGCAGAGTGCCCCTCACTGCTTCTCTGGGAAGGGCAGAAAACCTCATTGCCTGATAGGAATCACCACCATCATGATGATGATTCTTTTTATTTAGCTAAAACTTGACTCCCTGTAAAATTCTACCTATTGCTGTCAATTCTAACCTCTAGACTCTTATCAAAGAATTAGCAGGCTCCCTGTTCCAGCCCTTAGACCCTTGTAACACCAGTACCAAGTAGGTCATTGCCTAATTTTCAGCTTGGTCTACGCATGACAGAGAGCTTCTTCAGTATCACAGATTAGTAACTGAATCTTGCCCCTGGCCATTGCAAGTTTCCAGTCCATCTTACTGCCTCCTTTATTCTCTAGCTGTTCTTCCAACTTTGCCTGCTCGGCCTCCAATCTACTCACCAGCATCCTTCCTCTCGTCTACCCAACACCAACATTCTTTTCTTCTTAGAAGGTAGAGGTTTTTATTCCTTCATGGAAGATGAACAAGATGTTCTTGTTCATCTTGTTCATCCTGATGTTCTTGTTCACCAAGAACATCATGGTAGGTGAACAAGATGATTGGGAAACTGTTTTCTAATTCCACTGAATCATGTAGGAAAGGAGATAGAACTTAATGCAGTAACAAATATAGAAATATAGCAGTCAGGCAATAAAATGGTTACACAGACTTTATTGTTTCAAAAATTCCCATAGGCCTGAGATCAGTATTAGTCAACTAGACCATCAAATTCTTACTTTTGTATTGAAGAAAACAGAAGCTCTTTTGAATAATCCTTATATTTCAGGCTTGCAGTGGAAAAAACAAAGACACACACTGTCCACCATGAAGTACTTCAGAAACATCAGTTTAGCCAGGATGTAACTGAATTATACAGTGACTTATAAAGATCCTGGGGGGAATATTTCTTTGTTTGGTCAGGGGCACTGCCAGATTAAAGGTGCCGTAGTTCCACAGGCTGTTTGTTCCAGTCCTGCGCTCGATTGCAGCAATGTGAGTGTCTTGTCTGCACAGGTGGATTATTAACAGAGGTTATTGGTCTCCATGGCAAAATAATTGCACTGAACGTAATCTCATTTATGGGAGTGCAAAAAAAAAAAAAGGGCTCCAGGTCAGGGAGAATGTATAAATATCCATCGCCATTGAGGTTCTGCTGTATTTGAGAAGCTGAGGCAACTTCACGGACACAGTTCACAGGCTGATTTGCTTCTCCGCTCTAAAATACGGATTGAATTGGGGACATTTACTAAAACCCTCCGACCGATAACTTTGGAGAGACACTGTGAAGGAGGCAGTGAAGAGAATCTCTCCAGGGCCGGCCCTGCACTCTCCCAGCATGTGCACTGGCAGCTGTGCCAAGTGCCTGGGGGGCACGCTGATCCCCCTCTCTGTTTTTGCCTGTCTGGCCAACATCCTGTTATTTTTCCCTGGAGGAAAAGTGATAGAGGACAGCATCCACCTGTCGGAAGAGGTCTGGTTTTTTGGAGGAGTATTAGGAAGCGGGGTCTTGGTGAGTAGGAAAGCCTTAAACTCCTCCTGGAGATTTTTACCCCATTCTTCTAAAATTGAGCCCTTATTGACCATCAATATATTTCATTGCTAACAGCAGCCTAAGCATTCATGATGAATGAAGTCAGTGCCGTAATTTTTCCCTTCTCCATTAGGACCTGACAAGGAGACCATACCCCCCCCCAATTTACTAGGTAATTTAAATTTGGGCTGGTAGTTCTCGAGGCTCAATTAACTTCCAGGAATGACCTAAAGGCCACAGAATTTCTTTATTCTGACAGGACATGATGCTGGGGTGAGAACAGTACGGGGTGTCAGTAGAATCTTCTACCCATGCATGGATTTCTTACCTTTTTTCCTCAATAGAGATTGGGAACTTCTGCTTTAGAGAAAGGTACTTTTCATGCTAATTGAGGACACTTTTTTTTCTTTTCCTAACCCACCATCTAAATGGAAATTCGTGTTGTCAGATATTGAAATCTTGATCCATTGAAACTGCAGTCTGGCCAAGTGGCAACTAAATGCTCAATAACACTTGCCCACCCTATGAGCCATGCCTGTGAGTCCCTTTGGCCATCAAGTCCCAGGTCACAGCTGAGACTTCTCACACACACAGGCAGGTATGAGCCTCCCTTTCACATCTCAGACCCATTCTGAGGTGCTTCTCTTGCTCCCAGATGCTCTTCCCTTCGCTGGTGTTCCTGGGCCTAAAGAACAATGACTGCTGTGGGTGCTGTGGCAATGAGAGCTGTGGAAAAAGATTTGCAGTGAGTAACCGGGGGCTGGGGTGGGGGGGTGGGTGTGCTGCAGACGCCAGAATTATTCCTGGGTACACTGTCCCCTGGTGTTAGGCATTCTGAGCCAAAGATAAGTAACTGACCCCAAGCAAGACTCTGGGGACAGCGGGTAAAGGGATAGAAATGAAATTCTTCCTGTGGATGGAAAGTAACAGTAAAAGTAAATTTTAACATACAAGTGCCCTCTTATTTATAGGGAATGAGTACCATTTTAGATTTTAAAAACAAGCAGGGATGTCCAAGCTGGAGAACTGCATGGTGCCATATAAAGAATGCAGGCTGGGAAGCGGAGATGGGGACTGGACCTCTCTCTCGGCCATGAGAGGCCCTGAGACCTTAGATAAGTCATTTCCTTCTCTGGCCCATCAGTAAAAGGGAACATACCCTCCCCAGTAACCCCCTAAATTCCCCATCCACATGATTGCTAGGTCTCTGCCTGAGTGCCCAGCTCTTCCCACTTCTCCCTGGATTTTGCCTCAGGAGTTCTACCTTCATGCAGCCACCCATCTTTTTGCAGTGGGCAGAGATTAGGCATCACTTTTCTATGGTGGGGCGGGAAGAATTCCGGGGTGCAGGGTTGGGCTTCACCTCTACAACTGGGCAGGTTACTGTGCTACTCTCTGCCTTCCTGTGCTCACTGGTAATAAAAGGAAGTTGGACTAGATCAGAATTTCCCAAGTTTGGGACACACTCTTCTCATTAGTACACAGATATGCTATATTTTTAATAGCATGGAAAGTTATTCCTTTTCTCTTTCAACCCTTTGATTTTTATCACACAAAAGTCTTATTTTGAAGGAAGGAAGTTTTGACTTTTTCTAAACATTTATAGTCTCCCTTTCTAACAACAACAAAAAACACGTATTCAGCTCCAAGAATGCAAGCAATATTAAGAATTCAATAATATTATGTTGTGTTTGCCAAAGATTCCAGTTTTCTATTCAGATAAATTAAAGAAAAGTATTAAGAGTTCAAGTACGTTGATATGAGAAAGACAAAGTAGAACTGGAATGACAGTGTAATGATGAGTGAGGCCAGCTCCTGATCCACTCTCCTGAGGTTCAGGTGCCCACCTAAGAGACTCAGGCATCCCAGTGGTGAACTATACACACTCACCCAAACTTCTTAAAGGGAGAGCTCTTCATCAAAAACAAAAACATGTCATCATTCTTTGTAACCATATTTGCTCATTTATACCATCAAAAATATTTATTGAGCACAGTGAAGGGCTGAGGCTGGTACACTGTGCATACCACACGGATTTCCATGTGAGATCAAAGATCATGCAAAGAAACCATTCTCACCTTCTTCACATCTTCCTGAGTCCCCAGTAAACATGAATTATTATAATGACCTTTAAATTATTATTACAAAGAGTTGTGAAATAACCACAATTTAATACAATTATACTATGTGTATTAAATGTGATATTTTTAAGTAATTAAATAGGAAAATATAAAATTAATTTTCCTTTTGAAATGTAATTCTATTCTACTTGGGAGACTTGAAGGAATAAGTTGAAGATGAGAATTTGGAAAAGAACAGCAAATAAGGAAATTGGGTGAAAAGAAACAAGACTCACTTCTTACAGATCTACCAGCTCATTCTCTGATGTTGAATAGAGATGAAGATTAGCCCATTAAAAAAAGGGGTTTTTTTTGTTTGTTTTTAATTTTTGTTTTACATACAACCAGAGTTGTGCAAAGTTTGTTTTCTAGTTAGGTTTATGTGAAGTCCAAGACAAAGGCTGAAAAGTCATGTTTTAAAATTTCATTATTATTTTCTTTCCTCCTCTGAGGACATGCTTATTGATTTTAGAGAGAGAGGAAAGGAGAGGGAGAGAAACATTAATTCGAGAGAGAAACATTGATTTGTTCCATCTCCTATACACACTGAGCAGGGAACAAACCCGAACCTAGGCATGTGCCCCCTGATCAGGCACTGAATTCATGACCTTTTGATTTATGGGATGACACTCCAACCAACCAAGCCTCACCAACCAGGGCTAAAAAGTCATGTTTTTACAAGAACAGTTGAGTCAATATGATCTGAAACATATGGTGAGTCCAATTTAAGTTTTCCCTCTGAGCTCCCTAAACCACCCACTCACCCCCGAATACCCAATGGGACCTGCCCTTGGTGTGCGTTGAGGATGACACCTCCAAAATGACTGGCTGATTATCCACAGGGCAGCACCCACAAAGGACCAGACAAGCCAGTCTGGAAATAAGGCACCTGTCACCACTGTGCTAGAACAGGGACCACCACGCTCTAGGTGGAGAGCAGAATTATTTCGTTTTTGTTTTGTTTGTTTGTAATCCAGCTGCCAATTTTTAAAAATAGCATTCAGTGAAAGTATGTACATACCTTACATCCTTATAAAAAATTAAAACATTACCATGGCAGTCCTGGGCCTGCATTTGGCACAATGGCCTGCACTGGGCAAGGCTGAGTGAGCTTTTGTTTAGCGTCCCTGCCCTGCCCTTAAGAGCCATGGACCCAGGTCGCTGCTCTGGGGCCCTGTTTCCTTATTGTTCTGAGGGTCTGGAGCAAAACAATAACCATTTTATGAAGAAAGGTATTTACAAACATTTGTGAGACAAAAAGGAAGAAGCTACAGCATAATTCGATCTGTTCCATAGCACGGAAAGATTTGAATTATGTCCCAAAGGCTCATAGCATTTCCCTCTAGGTGTTTCAGGAACCCTGGGCTTCTGTGAAACACTGTTCAACAAACCCTGCTGGGCAGAAAGCCCCACCTCTCACCCCCTCCCAGCATAAACACTCCGGGCCACATGGGTGGGGAGGGGAGGGGGGCATGTTACGGCCTGTTGTGAACTGAAGGCCTTGCTCTCCATCCTTCCCTTCCTTCCCTGGCCCCTTTCTCTCCTCTCCTTTGCTATATTTTTCTGGAATATTCTCCAGATGTCAGCTGCATTGTTCTCTTTCCTTTCCTTGGGTAGTAAAACCAGGAATAAGAATCATCATTAGATGGAAGATGTGGTGACTGTAGACCTGAAAAAAATTGTAATTGATAGTTTATGGTGAAACCAGAAAATGGAGATACACTCTCCTCCAAGGAAAAGCAAGATGTGAGCCCAGCTCCAGGGATCTGCCCTTTCAATAAGCTGGACTAAGTGAGAGCTGAAAAGAGAGAGAGGGGGCACTTCTAAGGACCTGGGTTTATTTTCCGTCTCAACCTCTTCTTCCCATACTAGAGGTTCTTCTGCCCTCTGATCCTTTTTAAACATTGATCTCTCAGGGTTCAATGGGACTGCTAATTAATTTCATCAGCTCATCCATGTTAAGTGTGTAAGTAATAAGAGCCTTTTGAAAGCCTTGACTCAAAGAGCATCTTTAATAATGGGAATGAAAGTAGACTGTTAAGGAAATATGTTAGGGGCAGGCACACATTTCAGCATCTTTTTTATGTAGATAAGGGTCCATTCTGCCCATAGGCAGGGCCAGAGGGCTGATAGGCCCGTTGGCATGAAGATTTCAGTCAGGTCCTAAAGGAGTGTCTCATTGTAGTCCTCAGCAGGGCCCCTATGGAGGCCCCTTGTGTGAGCATTTCTGGGGTGAGCATTTCAGCTAGTTTGAGGGGTACTTAAGAGGATAGTTCTTTTGAAATAATAATCTTGAAAGTAGAAATATAGTATGAAAACTCCTTTTTCATGGTATGTTTTTTATGCTATAAAATGAATCATAGCACTCCCTACCTTTTATAGGGACATTGCAAGGTTTGGGGGAAGATGTCAGTATTAGTGTGCCAGGAAAGGAAAGTAGTACAAAGTGCCTTAGATATTGAGGACAAATGTTTTTGATAAATTCTTGTTGGATGAATGAAGTAAACAAACACTCAGGAGGGATTTCAGGTGATTTCCAAACTTACAGTTTCAATTCTCGTAAATTTTTCACTTAGGCATTGTATACCCCATTTTATAAATAGGGAATCTGAGGCACATGACATTACCTTTCTGACTGCAACACTTGTCTCTGCCATCTGCCCCCACTTCCCTAGCATTGCTGAGGTGGAAAATACAGGACATTACTGTTTGAAGGGGGTGGGGTGGGGGAACTAGGTAATCTCTACATATCTTTTAGCATAATTGGTAAGGAGGAACCTCCTCGCCCCCCAGAGATGTTTCTGCAAAATGTTGCTAGTACTCAAGTCTCTAAACATCATGTACCAAATCACCCATTTTTACTCCCTTCCCAGCCCCAGCGTTTCTTTCCTCTGGTTCAGCAGACATTAGTTCACACCTGATCAAAAACCCACAGTGGATGGGGACAGAGCTGGGGTCCTACCAAAGTGGTCTGCCTCCACAGCCCGAAAGAAAGGGGGGTCTTAAAGCTGACAAGCGGTGAACTCGAGTGCATCTGATTAGAAGATATTGTTATCTTCCATTTCAAGGGAAGGGTTTACAGCATATACATAAACAACTTTCTTTATCAATGTGGACAGAACAGGTGTGTTGAACAACCATGAGGGAGTTAGCATTTTGACTTTTGTTTTCCTGCTCAGGGTTATGCTTTCCATATTGTATTTGTAGAAATGAATGTGTCAGGATATGATAATAAAAATATTACAATATAATAATAACATTACAAGTGGTTGCTAATGACATGGGAAATTATCTGAAAGCTGAAAATAAGCAAAATAGATTTTGGGGTATCCCATCAGTGAAGTGCTGAGCACTATCTATTGTAATAACCCACCTATCTGGGTTTTTCTGATTTTCTAGTGTATGTACCTTTGATGTCCTCTTCTCTATTGATTAGATAATCTTATATATTATGTTCTCCCTCAGGCAGGTACTTTTTATTGAGACTTATTTAACAGAATGGAAATGGAAGTCTCAGAAAGATTAACTTTCCAAGGTCAAAAGGGAGTAACAAGGACTCGGACCCCAAATGGTCTACCTGTAATTCATGCCCATGGCCATTGCACTGTAGTGTCCCTCTTTAGCA